AAAACTTAATCGGCGATAATTGCAAAATTCGAAAAAATTGTCGATTACTTCAAAAATTAATTTCTCAAGAACTGAATGTGATTTTTCAAAACGGCTTTTTGCATTAAAAAGAGGACACTTTAATTAATAGTTGGTGATATTTCCACAAGGATCCTTCAAGAAATTAATTGTATAGCGAATTTTGAAAATTATCGATGAAAATTGCATCACCGAAAATTTGATCAAAACTTCAAATATTGTTTTCTCAAAAACTAAAAGTTTTTTTTTAAAACGGGTTGGTTCATTGGAAAGAGGACACTTTTATTTACACTTTGGGAAATTTTCATACACGTATTCCAAGAACTGGATTTTATAGGAATTTTTAAAACTTAATTGGTGAAAATTGTAAAATTCGAAAAAGTTGTCGATTACTTCAAAAATGTATTTCTCAAGAAAAGAAATTGTTTTTTCAAAACGGCTTGTTGCATTAAAAAGAGGATATTTTAATTAATAATTGGTGATATTTCCACAAGGATCCTTCAAGAAATTAATTGTATAGCGAATTTTGAAAATTATCAATGAAAATTGCAACACCGAAAATTTGATCAAAACTTCAAATATTGTTTTCTCAAAAACTAAAAGCTTTTTTTCAAATGGTTCATTGGAAAGAGGACACTTTTATTAACACTGTGGGAAATTTTCATACTCATATTCCAAGAACTGGATTTTATAGGAATTTTTAAAACTTAATCGGCGAAAATTGCAAAATTCGAAAAAATTTTCGATTACTTCAAAAATGTATTTCTCAAGAACTGAAAGTGATTTTTCAAAACGGCTTGTTGCATTAAAAAGAGGATACTTTAAATAATAATCGAAAGTGATAACAGCGACAGTTCTGTTAGTAATGAATGTGATGATGAATTACAAGCAAAGAGAAGAAAGCTACACGAAACTGCAACAAGAGATTTTATATATCGTATTGGAATTGTTACAATGAGGTTGCTAATGATAAATAAAGTTATATTCAATGAGAAAAGTCCTATTGGATACCGGATAGTTGCCGGATATCCGTTCCACCACTAATCTCGAGCATCAATGAAGTTGTTGTTCTTCCTGTACAAGTAATCTCCTGTAGCGATGATATAGCTACGACAGCTACTTCGAAGTTATCTTACTGATAAATCACAAGTTGTAAAGATTGAAAGTTATCTATCGGAACCTAGACCAATTAATAGAGGGGTCCCACAGGGTTGTATCTTGGGTCAACACTATTTTTGTAATATCCTTTCCAACTTCCATGTGAGTTGAGCCATGCAGATTATCATATGTATGTAGCTGATTTACAACAGAACTGTATATATCGTTTGAACAATGAAATTGCGAGTACGCTCTCCGCAGGTTGCAGGATTTGAATTTGTTAACAATTTTGCATTGAGGCTTACTCTTAATGTTAGCAAATCGGTGGTCATACTGATTGTGGGTGGATATGACATTGGCGAAACATGCACGGCTAGAGATCGGAGAAGTCCCGATACCATTGATTGCAGATGCTAAGAATTTGGGTTTAGTTATGGACAACAAATTTAGATATAGGAAGCAAATTTCAAAATACGGTTCATACTTGCAATTGCGAAAACTATTTCCCTTCAGAAATGTGTTACCTTTTCGCTTGAAGAGGATGTTATGTAAGTCACTTGTTCAATCGCAATTACTTATCTGACACCTGCCTATAATGCATGTTTGGACAGTGGATTTGGATTAGTTCTGGTTTTTGTGATTTTTAATGAATTAATTTTTACAATTTTTGATAATTGAAGCTGAGCTGAGTCATTTGTATTTTTTAGGATTCGTTTCACGCATCACAGTAGTCTGGACAATATTAAAAGTTCTGGACATACGTAGAACTGGCTTGGACACTGATGATAATCATGATATTTCAATTTTTGATTTTTGGTTCTCTCCATAGCATTCGCAATAAAAATGAAAAGTACACATTTTCATCAAGTGACCACTTGTGAAGCTCTGTTCTGCACGCGTTATAAAACAAGTTTGGCACTCACACTTTCTCAGTGTCTGATATAGAAAAGCCAAAGTTATGCAAATACGCGTGTCTCAGCGCATTTGTTATTACTTTGCCTCTTTTACCGAGCATGTAGCTTCCGCAAACACAACAAAAATATTGTGTATCCACTTTGCAAAATTTTGAATCCACTTCTGTCTTTGCATTCTTACTAATTTCTAAACACAATCACAACCTTTTGAATACAATTGAAGTCATCTAATGTCAATATTACCAACTTAAACTCAAAAAGCATGGCAACCTAAATGGTTGTTTTATTGAACATTCTATAAAATTATCACCGTTTTTCCAAATTCATATTTACTTTTTAGCAGAGGGTTGATTTAAAACAATTTAATAAACTCAAAATCCAGAACCAATTTTGACAAACCGGTTGAAGGTTCGGACTCAGCCCATCAAATTACGTTGTCAATCGTTCTCATTTGGTCGGGTCCAAAAGTTTATTGGAATTTGTAAACCCTGAAGAAGAATTACATCTCGTTCTTAAAGTTATTCAATGTTATTTCTCGAGATAATTTCCAACTTATAAATAACATAATACAAACACTCGGAAGTTATCCAATACTTGGAACATGCATGACAAAGGAGGATGTTTGCTTCAGATAATTACCAAATGCAATTATACAAATCCTAATTTGATGAATGGTACAATAATAATAGTTCAATGTCGCTCAGTGATAGCATTTTACATGGATGTTAATGACTAAACCGACCTTATGTCTGGATGTCATACAGCCTGTGAGTTTACAAAATGAAAAACAAATGTTTGTATCGACTTATAACCGATAGGATCGGTTGATCTGTTACGGTAATTTGCAATTACAAAGCGAGATGAACTAGAGCATAGGGTTATCACAGATCACATTAATTAAAAAGTGTGACTCGCAATACTTATAGCCTTAAAATCAGAAATTAATAAAATGATCTTACTTAAAATCTGTCCCTTGAAACCGACAATACCAAAATTATCGAAAACACTAAGCCAATGCTCACACTAAACCAGATGTTCTTAATAAAGTGTAAAAATAGTTGTAGAAATGGCTGAAGGTAAGATTAAATATCATGTAATATAAAACAAATTGATAACAACAAGCTATATTTCACTCAAGTTATTGCTAATTAGCATTCTTTAAGCTATATCTAACATTTCTACCAAGAGCTGCTAAATTAAAGAAGAAAGTCAGTTAGCACTTTTGTACAGTTTTTGAAATTGTACTTTATCCTGCCATTTTCTCCGATTTCTCATCGTTCTTCATCGATTCAAAGTAACGTCAAAAAAGCATAAATTCAAAATTAATGTCCTACTTGCTCAACATCGGTATAAATCCTCACCCGATGTATACTGAACAAGCAAAATGTACAGAGGCCTCTATGTATTTCTTGGACTCTGGCCAAACATATGGGAATGCATTATTTGAGAATTAAAAGGATATCATTGACACCATTCGATGTTATCCATTATCTGCTTTTTGACATGTCGCTAATTACTATGCTTTAGATTTGGACGAATCTTGCGTCATTACAGATTATTCTTGTGCATTAGTTCGATGGAACATTTTTTGAAGAATTATCGCCGAATTTTATTTTACCTATGTCAAAAACAGCTACTACAGGAAAGAATTCTACAAGGCTGGTTTGGACATAAACATATTTATATCGATAGCAACAGACGAAGCACTGGCAATACTTGGGTGTAGGAAAGGTTGGTTTCAGGAACTCAGAAGTGATCCTACACTCTGAGTCCTAGTTTTCAGAATAAATTGTTATAAATCATCTTTGTTTGGAGACTTGTTTCTCTACAACAATGTGAGATAGCTAAGCAAAAGCTGTGTTTGAAATTTTTTTTTCAAATTGTTATGTAAAAATAAAAAAATATTTTTTTAGTGATCAAAAAGCAGTAAATGTTGAGACTTCCTCCTTGGCGTTGAATAAAACGTGGTAACTGCCGTATTTTTATTGGTATTTTAAGATGTTGTATCTTTTAAACCTTAAAGGACAAGGCAAAGGTAAACTTGTCTAACTACTCTTAGAAGTAAAGAGTTTTTCAAGAAAGGTTGCCCTGTTCTTCGAAGATGATAGCAGAGAACGTTTAAACTGTTCACAGACCTAATGTACAGATCTAATTTCACAAATCACCAACCTTAACAACGTAATGAGAATAAGCTGATGAAATAAGAACGACATCAACGATCAACGAACATGATCACAAATTTCAAGGTTGTGCTGAATTAAACTTATCATATTTCTCAGTGAACATTAACCACGATGAACTTTATTAGAACTTATGTTAGAAGATTTTGGCGTTAAGTTTTTTGTCCTTCTAAACCTAACCACAAACTTTTGGCTTCAAACTAATTTGTCTTTTACAGTTACTACCTTCCTGTACTTTCAAGCTCAATAAAATAAAGAGTAGCTAATAATAAATTATGAAGCTCATCATAACTTATTAGTAGTCGTGTAGTACCCAGTATCTCGTGATAGAAGATAACAATACTAATAAAAACGTTTTTATATTTCGAGAATGTTTGGAAATTCAATCAAAACTGATTAAACAGCAACATAGTACATCAACTTTATAAATCAAAGATTATTAACTTGATTTAAATCATAATCAACTCCAGATGTCAACTTAAATGTTAGTAAACTTATGACGACTTTTAATTATGACTTCATTAAGAAATGTTAATTTAATATAAAGAAAGAGAAATCGTTAATTTACATAACAATTCAATGCCCGAAACTCATTTTCTGTCGTCTTAAATATGATACCGATCTTAATGAAACTTTCAATTTCAAAAAGATTCCATTTTAAGATCTTAATTTAACGGTTCCTTTAAATTGTGAACCTAAATAATCAAATTTGTTTTATAACCAACCAATTCAAGAAGAGTCCCAAAAAAAAAAATAAATAGAAACAAAACGTTAAATTCAATTGACTTACCGAGTTTCCATTGGCGTATCGAATTTCCTCGTCTATTGAGCTGACTGAATTCCTGGACTTTTGCCTGCAAGCGTTTGTCCTTTTCAATTTGGCACAGCCGTTGCTCGCCGATCGAAAACTTCCGGTCGTTTGAGTCCGAAGCTTTCCGTCTTCCGGATAGAGAACCAGACTTTGTGGACGACGATTACTAAAAAATAAATTAAAAATATGTTATTGTAAATTAATATATTGAATACTGATATATTGTAGGATGTAAGAAATTAAATATTGAAGTTCAATCTTCGCGGAGTTCCATAAAATCAATAGTAAACTTTAAAGAAGTGTACTCAATTGGTATATGGAGTAATAAAGAAAGAAAGAGTTAACTTAAAATATTTTGAATCGATAAGACTGTGGAGTTAACAAAAACTTTATGAGTTTCTTTAAAGTTCCTATACTGAAAGTTTTTCGTATTTGTTTTAAGTTATTGATTTTTTTTTCCGTTTACACCAACGGTATTTGTAATTGTTTTCGCTGTTATAAATAATAACTCACAATCTAGGTAACGATTGGGGAACTTGCAAGTTGATTTCTTCCTCATTTTCCTCAATGGTCTTGTTTAATGAAGGAAGAGATTGAGCTTCGTTTTGCTCGGTGATATCTATAAAACAAAATGAAAAACATTTATAATTGGATAACTTAAAGGGTAATAAATTTAATTTAACAAAAAGAAAAGTTTTAAAAGAGAAATTTTCTTATACCATAAACAATAACGTTATATTGTGTGTTAATATCGTTAATTAATATATACTTTACCTGTATTTGATAAGTAGTGTCTCGGAACGGATGCTCCTCTTATAGAAGAAGGTCGATAATTCGCTGGTGAACCCTGAAAAAGAATTAAAACAAAAATTAAAATTATTCCAAAAAGATTATAAAAAACAAAACGTAATTATTCTTACAAAAAGTTTAAATTCGCGAAATGGACGAAATATTAAAAAAGAAATAAAAAAAAAAAGAGAAAATTAAAAACGAGACTCGTAAATTTACATTTAGTATTCCCAAGATGCTTTAGAATGGTAATATTTTAATTACGGGACAAATGGTTAGATATGATAATTGTAGAGAAAAGCCTTTTTTTTCTAATGGAAAATGGGTTAACGTTTCCATTTTTATAATTATTTCATTAAATAATTTTTTAATAATAAATATGAATCAGTTTTTTTAGAAACTGTTTTATTAAGTGTTAAAAAGCTCATCAACCCAACAACCATTGTCTTACAAATATTTACACTTTCATAATGTTTATTGTTTCACCATATTTTTCCTAGATTTCTGTTTTTGTAACGAAACCGACTCTGAGAGTTAACATTAAACAATTTCTCATGAAAATTTCACTAATTTCAAATCATTATTGTAAAAATATTGGATGAATTAAAATTTGCATAAAAAATTGGTGTTTTTTAAGGAACTTAAAAAAATAAGAAGGCTTTTTATTGATTACATTATCTCAATAATGTCAAACAAGTGTATACAAAGCAACAATACTTCATAGAAGTTGTGTAATAAGTTCAATAATGCTCCAGTTGATAACAAAAATTTTATAACTGAACTCGATAATATTTACAAATAGAGAGTAAATAACGGGTGAAATATTGAAAATAAATTTCAATATCAACAAAATATTTTTTCCTAGAATAAATAGATAAAACACATTTAAAACATTTACTTTTAATAATAATAATCAGCAATTTTTTAAATTTCGCTTCAAAAATTCCAATTATTATTATTTATGTCTTACTTATTGAATTGTTAAACGGTTTACTGTCTTACAAGAAAATATGGGGATATATGTATAAATATGCTATGTATGACACCAATATAGAGTGATAGATATTAGCATACATATTGCACAAGTTTGTCTCTATAAGATTAAATCAATCCAATCCGTATTTTGAGAGCGCACGAACGCTCCAAGAAAATTATTTAATAAAAACGTACCGAAAAGAGATTTATGTGCTTCTATATACAAGGGCCTACTAACATAAATTACATAGCGATATGCACAGCTGTTGAGTATCGGATTCATCCACTGTGAAAAATGAATTCCTTCAGTTTGGACTGTTTATATAAAAAGAACTTTTCCATGCATTCTAAAGATTATATGTTATTTCCGAGGCAAAGTTGCCCATAAACCAAAATTGATAAATGATTGATATAACATAAAGAAGCATCATCTTTTAGATATTGAGGAATTTAACAACAAAGTTTTTTGCTGATAAAGGTGCGATATAAAAGGTAAATGTAAAACTGTGTTGCTTTATGCAACACTCGAATGTTTACAGCAAGAAAAAGATGTAAGCATTTGTTTAGATTAAATATTAATATAGTCATTTAATAGCTGAAAATTGTAAGCTAATTCAAGATATTCAAATTGCTCAAGAAACACTCAAAGAAAAACGAATTCAAAATTAGGAGAGGTTCTATACAAAAATTTAAGGCTTAAAAGCTTTGTTAGCAAAGAAAACTATATATTCATGGATTCGCGAGAAATTTTGAGATTAACGAACTGATTAAATTGCATTTAATTTTGACAATGGCTAACAATTGAGAAATTAAGTTTGATTGATGAATGAACTATTTTATCTACATAACGTCATGTAACAATCCCTGAATTAGAAGGAACCAAAGTATCAATGTGGATACTTGATGGATTACGTCCATATATTCAAATTAAAAGAACCAACGAATTCTTCTCCGGTAACAGAACTCAGAACTCATAACCTGGTAGGTTGGTATCCTCTGGACACGTCATCGTTAGTTTTGAATATTATATTAAGTGGTTCATCATTCATCATTTTGATAAGCAATTGACACAAATAATTGCGTTGTTGAGTATACTCAGATTTCTCGAAATATGTAATGATATGTAAACTATGCAAATTAAGGTTAATAATCGAAAAACCTAAAAAAAAAGGATGTCAGAAAATAGCAACATTAAGCATGATGCTGAATGGATTTTGGAGCAATCAGTCCAATTTCTGGAGAAATTGTCATTTCCAGAAAAACTAATATCAACCTCATTAGTTAGTGAAGATGTAGCAAATAAGGTAGAAGAAGATAAAGGGTTACCACTTAACAAGAAAACTTTTAGAAACGAAATAGAAGAACCTAAAACGTGTAATTCAGATGATCAAGATGTACAAGCAGTTGGACTGCTCACTGGTGATGACCAAAGAAACAAGAGGAAAAGCAAAGGACAAGGTGATTCGGCAAAGTGGAAAAGGTTGAAGAAGGCGAACCGATGATTTCATTGGCAGGAATATATGGGATTAAAAAAACAACATCTGGTAAATATGAACCAAATGTTAAGACGTAAACATCAATTACAGCCCCGATGTAAAGAAAATTGTTAATCATGGTAACAGAAGTCGACCAAATATTCATATTTAATAAGTTTTGGAGCATACATTCGTGGAAAGTCAAAAAAAATTATGTTTTTACCTTGGCTGTGTATGTATTATTTGAAGATCACGAATGGAAATGTGAAAATTCGACGGCAAGTATGTAGAACAATATTCCTTGTAACATTATCTAATGGGAAGAAATCCGTCAAAAAATGGACATCTACTCTTCCCGAGGTAAATTAGTGTCCAGACGCTGTTAGGCAATTGCAATTGAGTTTTTATCTGAAGATAGAGTGGCACTACTGTCGAACTTTAAGTTGGTAACTATCTTGACTGTTTTAAACAAAAAAACAGAAGATCGTGTTCTTGGAGAACACTTGAAAATATTCAAGGAGATGAACCAATATACAGAAAGATGAATGCAATTCATGTATGATATACAAAAATGGAAATTTAGAATTTAGCCTTTATGAAGCGCACATTGCTACGAAAATTCGACTGAATCATCATCACATGGCAAGATCCATGTATACACTGTTGTTGTTGGGCCACAACTATACCAAACAGAGTTGTTATGCCACCGATTAACGCGCAACATCTGTATATTTTAAAACGAAACATAAAGTTCATAACCTGACATTCTACAATTTAAATAATAAAGATGTTTCATGTTTTGTATGGTGTTTCTCTCCGAGACTAATGGAGATTTAAAAAGGGACTTTTTCGCTTCAATGATGGTTAGATTCATTCATAACTGAACTTCAAAAGTACAAGCGTTCCAAAACTATAGTGTGGGGCAATTGCTGTACGTATCAGCATCATAACCTTAAATTATGAAATGGTCTTCTCGAGTTAACTACGAAGTAAAATATAATTATAGAAGAAAAGTACTCAGAAATTCAAAGAATTTTTTCAAGTATTCGTCCGAGCAACAAAACTGGAGAACAATATGTGACAGATATTTATGCATTTCAGTACCTGCCTAAAGGAACTATTCAGTCTAAACTAAAATTTACAGGCATGTGGACAAACTATTAATAATAATAGTATGTACACCAGTATTCCAATACTATACCTAACTAATGACGTATTGCTGTCAGCCAGATGTCTAGCTATGTTCATCAGTTTCCTGGGTATGAGAAATATAGTTAAGCGAAATTATTGCCTCGAAAGTCTTGATCGACTGTTAAACCATTCTGATAGGGACGAAAGCTTCGAAGTCGACAAGCCACTAAAAGCTAGTAACGATGAGGAGCATCTATAAAATGGGAACAGAAGAACTAAAGAAGTCGGTCTTATTTTAGTATCCCTCTTTTGAAAAAAACGAGAAAAATGACAAACAATGGTGTTTAAGATGATCACGATGAAGCTGAAAACAAAGATTATATTGAAGAGTGTAAAGAAGATTCTGAATCTAAGTAAAAATTTTAACAAGAATTAGAGGACAAAATATGTTATTGTCATACTACACCCAACATAATGATAAAGTAAGACTGCCTGATATTTCCCTCATCTAATTAAAAGAACAAATTTCAAACCCTTGTGCAGCCGTTATGTAACCGAAGAAAAAAAAAACTTTAACAATTTGAAAAGAATACACAATGATGAATAATGACAAGATAATATATCAGAAAATAAGAAACACAATGTCCAAACCAAGATGAGTGTATTACCAAATTAACACAGCATTGATAAATAAAAAAGGGCTGAGTAAAGAAATAAAAATGCACCGGTACAAAACAGTATATGTGCTAACATTGATATATGACCTGAAAAATGCAGGAAAAGCACGATAGCAAAGTAACAGCTATAAAAATGAGGTACCTAAGGGGAATAATAAGAATGACCAGAAGAGATTGTCAGAACCACAACTACAAGAGAGGTACTAGGGATAGATCGTTTAGTGAAAACTATATAAAAAAATACATATAAAGCCATGGTACGACCCATACTAACATGGTGACCCATGGTATCGAGACGACAGCAGAAACAAAGAAGACTAAACAGCGGATGAGGGCGATGGAGATAAAAGTCTTGAGATCTATGTTGAATGTGACACTGCGAGATAGGCAGACCAGCACCTCCATCAGAGAAAGATGTAACATATAGGATGTAGTAAAATGGACAAAAGTAAGAAAGAAAAGGTGGAAGAAGCATGTGAAAGGAATACATGAGAGGAAATTGGCCTGAATATGCATGTATGGACGACCGAAAGGAAAACGACCACAAGAGTGACCGCCCAGGAGATGGGCACAGAGGTAGTTCTCCTCGTCTGCGCAGTAAAGTCTAAATATGAGGCTTGACAAACAAGGATGCATCCCTAATCGAAAGTAGATGAAGAAGAAGTGAAAACTATATAGAACAATTACAGTGGTACGGACACATGATCCGTATGGATGATAAGAGGCTCCTAAAGAGGATGATGACGACAAGAGAAGAATGAAAGAGGGGAAGGGAGACACCCAGAACAAACTGGCTGGGC